ACGGGCCGTTTGTGACAGCTCTGCAAAGCCGCCGCCGGGGTCATGGTGCGGGCGGCCAGCGAGTACCGGGGGGAGGCCGCGCTGCCGGCGTGAGGCGCGGTGTAATCTCGGTTCAAGGAGGCAGTGCGTGACCTGTGCACGCAGCATCGGGGGCGCTCAGTAAAGGCGCTCATCGCCGCGTCCTGCGGAGAGGTTGAAGTTCAGGCTTCGTGGCCGGTACTACCGTTTCAAGAGAGCCGGAAAATCTGCGCCAGTGGGTTGCACGGCACCTGTGTTCCTGACGGATTCATCTTCAAATCGCTGGGAGTATGTCGTTTGTCCTTAAATTTAGGGATTCTTTGACTAAAGATGGCCTGCAGGAAGCTAAAGGAAGGGCTCCCTTTGCACTGTGGAATCTAAATGGAAGACAGCATTTGTTTTTGTAAAAATTTCTGATTTCCTCAGTCTTAGGATTTTCATTTCCTCAGTCTTACTATTTTGAGTATGCTCACTACTGTTTTTCCTTGCTTTCATCAGCAGGGTGTAATGAAGCATCATGTCAAGGAATACACTGCCTTGTCCTGTAAAGAAAACTCAAAACACGGAGAAACATCAAAGCACAAATTCTAAAAAAATAATACTGGGGAACCGCTCTCTGAAAGAACGTGAAAACATTTTGGTTCATATTTTCTATCTCTTTATGCTATAACCTTCCAGTATACAGATCAAGAGCCCAGTTCACTGATCCTTACTGTCTTTCTAAAACCTGACGTAAGTGTTCCCTCTCAACCAGTATCTCTTGCCCTGAGCTTCAGCCTGCATAATGGGGACATCCCAAAATTAAATAGGAGTTTGTAGAGCTACGGTTATTTCCAAATCAGGGCAGCCCTTACTTGCCTCCAGCAAGGTGTCCCCAATGAACTCAGGCCTCATACTGCTACTCTTGCAGATGTGGCTCTGCCATGTCCACTGAATGTATGTTGAATCTCCTCACTGACACCTTGATCTCTGCCTGTTTTTCCAGAGCTTTTCTCTAACTCTTCCCTCCAGCTCACTACGTACCTACCTTGTACTTTTTACCTAAATAAAATAAGGTCATGCTTTGGAGCTTATCAAATGGACATCACAAAGATCCTGACTGTAATTCACAAGAGTTATTTAATCCAAATCATTCCACAGACATTATTTACATAGAAGTAGATCATCCGGTAATTAAATACAAGGAATCAATTAGATGCTGATTTGAAAGAAAAGGGATTGAAACACAGCATGTGGAAAATATTAAAACTGTAAAGACTGAACTGTCAGTAGTCTCATGAGGACAAAGACCAGTGTTCAGACAGTATTTGAAGTTCATGAATATCAAAATTGGTATTTTACACATCAAAGGGTATAATATTTTTGCTGACAAGTACTACCTGAGGTTTGGGAGCCTAAACAGAGATATTCGTGGGAGAAGCATAAAGAGGGAAAGTTGCTTTTACAGATCTTTTATGAATTTAACAATTCTGTCCAATCCCCTTTTCCCAGCTGGAAATGACAAACCACAATAATCAAACAAGCTTATGATTCCATGGAATCCATCCTCAAGGTGGTACCAGGTCACTCGAATACCGTTGTCCTCCAGTCTCTTCTTGTAAAGCAAGCCGTCATCTCTTAGCACATCATACCCACAAGTCACGATGAAAGACTCGGGCAGCTGGTGAATAACAGCATCTTCGGCTAAGAGCGGACACGGGTCGGGCTCACAAAGTCTTTTCACTTTCTCATAAACTTCAGCCTTGAATTCATGGGGCTTCTGTGGTTTGTAGCCTCTGACCTTAAATTTTTCGGGGATGTTATCTGGACTCACCCACTTCCTGTACTTCAGCCTCATATCTGGAGGAATATGAGAGCCCTCCAAGACCTCTTGCATATGCAATGCATCCCCATTTAGGTACTGCAAAGCAAAGAAAGCGGCACGTTCTCGGAATAAGAGAGGGACTCCTCGATTTTGATGATAGGATGGTAAATTGAAGTCCAGTGCCTGAAGGCCCGGGTAGATCAAGATCTGAGCACGTAGTCTGGGGAGGTCTGATCTACCTGCAAGGGTCTGGCTAACTGCAGAGCTGCCAGAGCCCCCAGCACTGTCCCCGCAGACAATTACATTGGCAGGATCCACCCCATAGTGCTCTATATTCTTCATAAAGTGTATGGTGGCGTTAAGACAGTCTTCATACGCAGCAGGGTATTTGTGTTCAGGAGCTAAACGATACCTAGTACACAGACAACAAAAGTAAGAGAAGGAAATGTCGTAACTGTAAATACAAATTTCCTACAGCACCTTGGCTTTCCCTGTGTTGTTTGGAGTTTTTTTCCTTCAGCACAAAAACCCGGTGTCATTATCTGCTAAACAGGTATTTGTCCAGCGAGTTATCACAGATAAATGATAGCCAGTAGGATGAAGTTGCAAGGACGTAGTATAGTTGGGATCTTCTTCTGAGAACAGCACTGATCAGAACTTGAGTGATACAAGTTCATTTTACTCTTTTGGTGTAGACTGCATCTGGCTTGTGGATGAAGTAATTTAATCAGTCTGCACCTCACCTTTACTTAGGATACTTCCTCTTGAGAATTCTTTTATTTAAATAACTGGGACAGAGTTATAATTTTGTGTATTATTAGTATTAAAATATATTAGCATTTGATTCTTACTGTTAGAAAACTCCTTGAAGTTTACAGTGTGATTACATCTAATTAAACAGATCACTGTATCACCACCTTCCAAGTTTGTTTATTAGTCAGTTCTCAACATGTAAGAAAACTCTTCTGGAAAGCATTCCTTCTTTTTGTGTGGTGCCAGCATAGCTCTGTGTTGTGAGATACATGAACCTTACTTTGGGGTCTGTTTGCACTCTCCCTGCATTAGCAGATTGTGGGGGAAGAAATTAAAATAGTCCCCTTGAAAGTCTGTCTGACCATGTGGGGTCCTGGGGAAATGGTATACTGAGGAGGAGTGTTCCCACAAGACATGCAACACTGGTGCTGAGAAGTGAAGAAAAGCAAAAAGACTTCCATGGGGTAGTACTGACATAACTCACCCAACAGACACAACCACCAACTCGCTTTCTTTGGCAATGTAACGGCAGATCTTTTCATGGGAATCTGCAAAAGTTGGGGGGTTGTTAGCTGCCTGCTCCGTTTCCAGATGCAATAGCCAAGGAAGGTGGAAGCCTCCTTTTCCCGCCCTGGCCATGCCCTTCCCGATCCTCACACACCACCTCACCTCCCCTCCCCTCCCCTCCCCTTGTCCCTCTTCCCCTCAGCCCTGCCGCCTCCCCTCAAGGCAGGCAGCAGAGGTTCACCGAGAGCACTAAGCTGGCTGAAGATGACGGGAAAGCTCAGCCACGTTTCAGACCTTCTGCCAGGTTTCGGGGCAGAATTATTCCCCCCGCCTCCAGAAGATAACGGCGGCAGCGAACAGCTGCGCTGCGGGGTGGTGGTGGGGAAACGACCCGGCCCGCCCTACCGATGCTGCAGTACAGCCAGCCGCCGCCGTGGAAGAACATGGCGGCCGCCCGCAGGCCGGCAGATGGCGCGCGGGGCCGGTAGACCCTCACCGGCACCCGGCCGACGTGTCCTCTAGCGAGAGCTAGGGTCCGGCCTCAGCTTCGTCCCGGAGCGCATGTAGCGGGTGAAGGCGATCTGGCTGCACACCCCCATCTTTTCCAAAATCTTCCCCTGTTCGAAGAGAGGGAGGAGAGCCCGGCTGAGCGGAGGGCGGCCCCCCTGGGGGCAGCCAGCAGCCGCGGGCCGCCTCGGGGAAGGCTGCCACACGCCACGCCAGGCAGGTTGCCGTGAGGGAGACGGTGCGCCTGCCTTCCCCCGGCCGCTGCGAGGCCTGACGGGGCACCCAGGCTTCCTGTTGACAGGGTTCAGCCTGCTCCAGACCCACTCGCCTCTACCCTCGCCTTTAGCAGCCGCTCCGGTCTGGTCCTCACTAGAAAGCTGGCACAGGAGAAGATGGAGCTGTGGCAGTCTCCTGTTAGGCTGCGTGCCTGGGCGAGCAGAGTTGCTTTGGCACCGTGCACCTGAGCAGGTAGGCCCACGCGTCCGACTCACGCTCTGTCAGGCAAAATGTCTTAGGGGAGAAAAAAAGGTGTTTCCTTCTCAGCATCACCAAGTCCTTTGGTTTCATACCAGCTTCCCACCGCTCACAGGCTTAAACCCCAGATGTCGTTCCTCTAAGGTTTCCCATGAGTCTCTGGTTTTATCTGCTTAAGAAGCACCCGGCCTTCCATCAGTGTTACTGGAAAGCCCCAAGAATGGCCTAAAAACATCATCTGTGCTTAGCTAAAATGGAAATCAAAGCAATCTCACTTTTTATAAATAATTAACTTAAACTGAATTAGGGAAGCTCAGCTGATAAAGCTTGGACTCTTGTGGTTGGCTTCATCCCTGTGTAATAGGGAAAATCTGACTGAACTATGTGAGGTCTAACAGAAATGATTTTACAAAAATTGTTCTTTAAAGTCAGCCCCCAAAACAAGAAAACCTTCATGTCAGTCTTGATGCAGCCAGCAGGTTTCTGGTCTTTACACATATAACCTTACAAAAATAACACCTAAACCACATTTCTGGCAGAACTCATGGCAGAGTAACTCACCATAGCAGATGTAATAATCAGAGAAGCAAGGACAAGTCGAAGCTTTCCAGGATGATTCACTCCAGGAGGGATACTGAAATTGGAGTACTCGGATTGAATTGTTCCCATAACTGCTAGTATGAATGAAGCAGTAAAAATCACCAGCAGTATCACTGGCAGTATATAAAAAAATGCCATTTCACTTAACCAAAGGTGAGGTGTCTTTACACCTGTCTTTGATTTAGCTTTCTCAGATAATAGTAAACCTTAGAGCAGTCCAAGTTACAACAGATCTCTCGGGTGTCAGATCTCTCACACTTTAAAGTCCTTGGAGAAGTTGTGCAAGGTGCCAGCACGCATTACATTGGAGAAGAGGCAGAGGAGAATGTGTTTAATTTCCTGTTTAGCTTCACATTAATTGTGGGACTGATACAGGGCCTGGTATTCTGCATGGTATTCTTGGATTGCGGATGCTATGAATGACTGTTCAGAGATAGCAGTTAAGTACTGAATGAAGTTCTAGTTTATGACGAGTTGCTGTTTACAAGGAGAGCCACCTACTGTGGGGATTAAATTGCCTCTTGCATCTGATCTGCAGCCACAACATACTGCTTCCTGTATTGTGGGCATTCTTTAAGTAGTTTGGAATAAGTAGTTTTAACAAGGACATTTAGAAAAGAAAACGGGAACTAACATGAGGAAAAAAAAAGCTAAGGTGGGCTCTACAAAAGTAAATGCATCAATCTGATTTTGTTGTTAGAATATTTAAGCACAGGAACAAGTTTTTTAGCATACTCGTATGTTTGATAAACATAGGAAAACACTTAGAGCATTTCCTCCGTTTTAATTTACACAAAGCTGTTAATAGTGTCTCTGTTGGGGACAGTTGCAGTTTTGACTTCATTTTTTCAAGTCTAAAATACCAGTTACCTAGCTCATAGAAATTTTCTGCAAGTCAGTGACTGGGAATCTTAGGCTCAGATACTATGTGTAGCATACAGGACAGGCACTGCGTTACAGCATTGTAATATCAGTATCTTTCTCCTTTGCCAAAACACACAGCCTTCTAGGAAGAACGAAACCATAGATCATGATTGAATAAAATGGGTCAGACCAGATGTTGATTTAAAATTTTACTGCATCTTTAATATTTACTGAGAGAGTAGTAAGTGCCTAGTCCAAATAGATAATTAAAATAGGCAGACTGCACATGGAATACTTCAAACAGCACTAAAAGAAACTCTCATAGCATTCCTGAAATATTTTTTTTCAGTGGTCACACTGGCATAATTGCTCATTAATAAATTGTGCTATCTAAACCTCTTACATGGAATTTAGAAGCATAAAAGACCACAGGAAACTGGCAGTTCTTATAGAAGGAAAGAAAACTGTTTCTATAAGCCTTTTAGAAAGTTCACGATATTGTCAAGACCCCTTTTTCCAGATGAAAATGATAACCAGTCACTATTAAATGAATTTATGATTCCATGGAATCCATCCTCAAGGTGGTACCAGGTCACTTGAACACCGTTGTCCTCCAGTCTAAGATGAAAGCGGGCAGCTGGTGAACAATAGCGTCTTCGGCGGACACAGGTTGGGCTCACAAAATCTTTTCACTGTCTCATAAACTTCGGACTTCGGTTCAAGTAGCACATGTGGTTTGTAGCCTCTGACCTTAAATGGTTGTACAGTCAAGTAGCACATGTGGTTTGTAGCCTCTGACCTTAAATTTTTCGGGGATGTTATCTGGACTCACCCACTTCCTGTAGTTTAATTTAGTATCTAGAGGCATATGGGAACCCTCCAAGACCTCTTCCAGATTTGATGCATTCCCATTTAGGTACTGCAACACGTAGAAAGCAGCACATTCTCGGAATAAGAGAGGGACTCTCTGATTCTGTTGATAGGATGGTAAATTGAAGTCCAGTGCCTGAAGGCCCGGGTAGATCAAGATCTGAGCACGTAGTCTGGGGAGGTCTGATCTACCTGCAAGGGTCTGGCTAACTGCAGCTGCCAGATTGCCCCCAGCACTGTCCCCGCAGATAATTATACGGGCAGGATCCACCCCATAGTGCTCTATATTCTTCATAAAGTGTATGGTGGCATTAAGACAGTCTTCATACGCAGCAGGGTATTTGTGTTCAGGAGCTAAACGATACCTAGTACACAAAAGGATACAACAAAAGTACAAGAGGGAAATACTAGTTTTAAATGTATTGCTGAAAATACTGGTTCCTGCAACCAGCAATATCCTGCAACCAGCAATAACCCTGATTACCTCAGAATTTCCCCTTTCTCCACAGGTTGTCATAAATAAATGGCAGCTAGTTGGACCACGTGGTGCAGATTAACTTGTTAGGATGTTATCTGTTTAGGATGTTTCTCAGGTCTTTAACAACACAGGAGTACTCAACTGCCGACTATGTCTAGGTTTTATTGACAGTCATTTAGTCGGTTTATGTTTTAGCTTTCCATGTGTCAGATACAAATGAGAGTACTTCTGTTTTATGTCTTTGTTACAGTGCAACTATAGCCTCATAATCCAAATCATTATGTCAGTATATTGGTGATGATATTAGCTTGCTATTCATGTAGTGCTTCTGTAAGCATCGAGCAGAGTTTCCTTGAATAAAGATTAAGTAGAATATGTGGCTTACTATCTGTTTACTATAAATTTTGAGTTTAGAATTTGAAAACATTGATTGACAAGTTCCACAGAAACCTTTCTCTGAGAATGGTTGTTGCTATGATCAGGAAAGCTGTAAGGTGATATTTACACTGTAGGAAATAATCTCTGAAAAACAGCATGAGGAAAGACTCACCCAACAGATACAACCACTGATTCACTTTCTCTGGCAATAGAGCGGCATAACTTTTCATGGGTCTCTGAAAGAAACATATTTGGTGGGTTTGGGGTTTGGTTTTTGTTTGGTTTTTTTGCCAGAGTACTGATGTTGTCTATTACATAAGTCAAAGAATTGCAAGAAGAAAATAGTCTCTATTTTTCTCTGCCCCTTCCTACATAGCTCCTCAGATCTTTTGTACCCCCTCATCTTCCTATTTCAGTATTTGCTTACTGTATTTTTTCCCCTCATATCTCATTGTCCTTGTCTTTAAGAAAAATGCGCATAATGCACAGCAGATGCTTACTTCTGACAGCAAGACTTACGAGAGTGCATCTGTGGTTATACTCAAACTTCGTAACTGCTACAGATCAAGCGACAATCAACTTTACCATTTATGAAGTAGATACATCTTTAACTAAATTGTAATATTTTTTCTGTTAGATATCTTACCAAGACTTCCAAATACCCATCCTCCTCCATGGAAAAACATAACTCCTCTCCATTGGCTGGCAGATGGAACCTTAGGCTGATAAATCCTTACAGGCACTTTCTCAAAACACAGGTCCTTGATGAAGAGCTTCGGGTCTGCTCCTAGAGTCTTTCTACCTTGAAGGTACCGGACAAAGCTAACTTGACTGCAGATGCCAATATTTTCCAAAATCTTTCCCTGTGCAAAGGCAAAGACAATAGGGAGTTCACTCAAGAGATTCTCTATTTTCCAAAGTAAAGGAACTGTATGGGCAGTATACTCATGATGTTTAGTCATATATTTTAGGGCAATCATAAAATATTTGAGTATTTGTACATAAAATACAACTGAACAAATAACAGTAACATCATGAGAGGTCACATGAACAGCAGTGTTTACCGAAGAACATAATCCCAAAACAATGCAGCATTAACAAAGACTGGTGAAATATATCCCTTTGCTTTCTCAGCAGGTCCTTTACCTAACATTGAAAACGAGTTTGGTTTTCACTGGTTGTTCTGTCCTTGCCCCTGAGACGATGTGAAAACATAGCGAAAGATGATAGTTCTGGTGCTGATTTTCACGATATGGACACTTGCCCAAAGCAGAGTTGACTAAGTTGAGAATGTATTTGGTAATTGCTTTTTGATTCATCTCGGAAGACTTCACTGATGTGTGCAATGCACTGGCAAGGAGATCCTGAGATATTTCGTAGGCCTAAACTTCTGTTCTTTCTGTATGCCGTAGTGATATTCATGGCAGGCACCAGAAGATGAAAAGAATACAAATGAGAGCTACTGGTCCAACATAACTTTGCAAAAATAAAAAAAAGGCATAACCTCTGTTTTGAAATACATTATTTGGTCATGCCAAACCAGTACTTCGGTCCTTACGAAGGTTTGAATCAAGCTCTTAATATTCAATATTGTTATGAATATTTCTTACTAGACTGCCACATTTGTATGGATTGTCAGTATAGTGTTATGACTCAATATATTTACCTACAAAAGGCCTTTTCTTCCAGTGACTCCAGCTATTTATAATGTTCTCCATGCCTGATTTTGAGGCTGAAGAAACTAATACATTTTGCAACATACTGACTTTAATTCATTATAGAAACGACTCTTAGTGTCTCTGATTGTATACAAACATGATAAAATGATTTATTCTTTTGTATTTGCTATTTTCCAAGCAGAAATGGAACAACTACAAAGAATATTCTCACCTTTACCTTCAACTTGTTTGGTTTCTTTCATCCTGTGTTGTTATATTGCAGCATACAATTCTGGTTTATGGTACTAATGGGCAGTGTATAGACGATAAAAAGAGAACTGGCTTTTCCAGCTGCTTAAGTGAAGTAATCGCTTTGTAATTACAACTTGTGTGCAGCCAAAGCATGAGAATATATATCCAGAATTCTTTAGTATGGTCCACTATAACCTAGAATATTTCTGACAGATAATTTTTTCTTTTTTTTTTCTTTTTTTTTTTTTTCTTTTCTCTTTTTTCATTTTAAATAGTTTGTCCCTCTTGGAAGTGTTTAAGTAATTTATTAAATATATGCACAACTTCTGCTATTTCATGTATTTCTAACACCTTCATCATCACAGCATCTATGCATCTATCATTACATGGAAATACTGATTCAGTGAGATCAGAAGTTGAGTGCTGGTAAGAGCTTCAACTCTTGTGGACTGGTTAGCTTCCCACTCTTTTACAGGCCAGTTCACCTGAAGAAGTTGGGCTGGCCAGCACCCTTCATTCCCATCAGACAAGCCTGCTTAGTTGCTGCAGGAGTTATAAATATGTTTTCAGGGGAGGTGGAATTCCTTCAGCTCCTCTTGGGAAATGTTACCTAATTTTGTCACTTGTGTGACAAAAAATCCCCCTTCCCAAAACCAATTCTGAAATGTTCAGTCTCTAATTTTATCTTCAAAATAAATACATAACTCCTCATCCCCAAGTCTAAGAAAAGCTTGAAAGCATGGCCCAAAGACATCTGATACATTCTGAACCTAGAATGGAAATATAAATGATCCAACAGTTATAAGCATTCTTAATCAAATTATTGCTAGATTAGCACAATTCATTGTAGAAGCACAGTCAGACTTTCAAATGCTTGTGTTAGGCAGTGTTTACCTACTGCCTAATGTAAGAGCTAGGCGGGATTGTAATAATGCCGTGTAGTGTGAAAAATCTGGTAAAGGTTTCTTTAGCAAAACTGAGCTTCTAAATACAACATGCAGCATGATAGCTATGCCCTGCTCTCCTCTCTGAAAATTAATTCCAAGCAAGGTTCTAGCATTGCATTAAGTTTAAAATCTACAGGTTCACCGTTCTTCCCGCAGAAATCGCACCAGGTTAACTTACCACCACAGCTCTGCTTATTAAAATTATATGAATGATTCGGAGCTTTACAGGCTGATTGACTCCAGGAGGAATTTCTGAGTTGGAGAAATCAAAATTAATTGCCCCCATGACCAACAAAATAAATCCAGCAACAAAAACTGCTAAGAATAACACCAGCAGTGTGTAAACAACTGCCATTTTGCTGAGCAGCAGTGATCTGAAATGTCTTTGATTTGACTTTCCCAGATATCTTTGGCTTGTTACTTCCTGATTACTTGTTAGTCATGAGATTGCTCTAGTAAAAACCTTTCTCCTCCCTTTTACAAATACATCAGTAGGTGTCTTTCCCTCTCCCACTCTCTCCCCACCCTTTATTTCACAAAAGATAAGTTCGTCAAAGTCCTGCGTGCACCAATGTTTTTTTTTGAAAGGTGCACCTATAAAATTATGTCATTACCTCAATCTCAGGTTTTTTTAGTATTTGTGTTTTCTTCTAAAAGAAGAACATGGTTAAAAAACAACACAGGAGGCTGAGTTTAGATTCATGATTGGGTTACCTCCTATCAGGTAAACTTCAGTAACTCTCAAGAGTGCAACCGGTGCAGCATAAAGTTACTTAACATAGTCAGCAATTAAAGAGTTTCAGATCAAACTGCTTTATCTTGTTCTTGCTGTAGAATGGGATTGTGCTAATGTAGAGGTGCTGTAGTTTAAATGATGCTTGAGGTATTAATTGTGAATCTGAGTCTGAAACTCTTCAAACAACTAGGATGTCAGAACATTGTTGAAATTGCAAATTCCCCGGGAAATGAAAGAGGTAAAAATCTAACTTCATTAAGCAGCCATGTTATAATTTTTTTTTTTTTTTAGTTTAATTGTAAGTGATGGGGGGAAAGTACTATGTCATTTTAGTTAGAAAACTTTATAAAAAATGAAATTTCTTCATTTTTTCCAGTGAGAAGTTGAGTGTTTTTAATAGGGCACATGCTCATTGTAAAATACTCTGAAGTAGAAGGAAATATTTTGTTTAAAACCAGCAAAAGTCCAGATTAAAAAAAAAAAAATAGCCCACCCAATGGTGTTTCTGGACTCAGTTTGCATTATGTTTCCACAGCTATGTGATCATATACAATAGTCGTGGATAGTGCAGTTGTCTGGTAAATTAGTTACTGTGCACAGCACAGATTTGACTAGGTAGAATTAGCAAGATTGTGGTCTCTGTCTGCCAGCGTTGCATTGTTCCTTTCACCATGAGGTGTTCATTTAGGTTCATCAGTGAGTATGTGTTTAGCAAATGTAACTTGCTCTTGTAACATTTGAAGTGCTAGTTTTTATTTTTTTGTTGTTGAAAGCATCACAAAATTGCCACAGCATTACAGTGATAATATAATGTTGTGCTTCTCTACCTTCTTACATCTGTGATCTTCAGAACTTTTTCAACAAACATAGCATAACAGGTAGTCCTGAGCATAAGATAATCTTGAAAGAAAAACAAAGAGTACAAAAAGGAAAAGAAGTCTCACCTCTACACTTCCCTAACATGTACACGCTCCTTAAACTTTAGGGATTCCAGTTTAATAATCAAGTTCCAAAATGAAACATCATTTCTCAGATTCCAAACAAAATCAAACCCATACTAGTTCCAGTTTAGAACTTCTGCTCCAGACAGAAGCCTTTCTTTTGACTACACTTTTTCAAGAAAAGTGTAGTCTTTGTGCAAATCAACCCTAGAAATTAAAATGCATAGCTGCAATTTCACTATCTGACAGAAGACTTCACAGAATCTGAGTCATTGGGCTCTCCTGTCTCTCACAAGGGCCAAAGTAGACCCCAGTTGTTGTCTTCAGCATTTCTGGGCAGTCAAAGAATCTTTGGGAAGAGATGTTCTTGCTGCTTGCCTTGAACATGTGCCAGCCATGCAAAGATATAGAATTGCTAGAGCTGAAGTGAAACAGGATGTGTCAGGTGCCTCGCTTTTGCAGCTCGATCTTATTAGTGTGTTTTTATAATAATGTTTTCTAGAATGGTGGTGCTTTAAATAATCTTAACATCTGTTTGAGAATCACTGCAGAAGCAGAAATTAGAAAGTGTAAAATGCAAACTCCAAAACATAAATCAAAAGTGTTTACATTTTTTGCCAAGTATAAATTCACCAAGGATAATGTAAGACTTACATCTTTGTTCTGAAAAATACTTTTATAAACTGTTTATAAAATTCACAGTATTATCCATTATCTTTTTTGCAGATAAAAAGGAAAAAATCCCATAGCCAAAAAAGGCTAAATTTCCATGGAAACCACTCTCAGAATGATACCAGGTCACTTGAACGCCATTGTCCTCTAATCGCTTCTTGTATAACAGTCCATCATCCCTAAGCACATCAAACTCACAGGTCACAATGTAGGATTCAGGGAGCTGGCAAATAATGGAGTCTTCAGCTAAAAGCGGGGAAAATGTTATTGTTAAAACTTCTTTGATTGCTTCATGGACTTCAGGTTTATATGAAGTGGATTTCTGTGGTACGTAGCCTCTAATCTTAAATTCATCAGGAATAATGTCAGCACTTACCCATTTTTTACAGTTCCGTTTCATACTCTCAGGAACATGGCAATTTTGTAGGACATCTTCCAAAACTGATGGTTCTTTATTAAGATAACGAAAACAGAAGTAGATAACTAGCTTCCGAAACAACATGGGGACTGAAGCATTCTGCTGATAGGAAGGCAAATGAAAATCTAGCCCCTGTAGTCCTGGATAAAGTAAGACCTGAGCACGTACTTTTGGGAGATCTCTTCTATTCAGCAGTATTTGGCAAATAACCGTAGCAAAATTAGCTCCACAACTGTCACCGCTAATGATGATGAGAGCAGGATCCACATGATACTCTTCTAAATTCCTCATGAAGTATAAGGTGGCATTGAGACAATCAAAGTATTGCCCTGGGTATGGGTGTTCAGGAGCCAAACGATAACTGAAATGTCAAAGATATTGTGGTTATTGTTAAAGTAATTATAAAAATTTAACGTGCATTTTTCATGATTGACTGGTATGGTGGTTATGTAGGCCTTTTTTTTCCAAATTTTAAAGATTATATTTGGTTTTAACTAGTGTAGATGGGAAAGACAAACTAATGGCGTTACAGCTATTTTAGAATATTTGCCTATAAGCACATTTCTAAATTAAATGAAAGGCTAAAGCGAAAAATAGGGAGCACAATCTAAAATAGTCTATTTAAATAGCCCTTCCCCACCAGACACGACCACCGAGTTGCATTTTTTGGCATAGCGGCATATTCTTTCAAAGGCTCCTAATAAGAAAGTTTATCAGAAATGATGTTTTAAAAATCAAATACCCTTTTTTGAAATGAAAATATAGATCCAATGAGACCGATGAGTAACTTCTGCTATGCAATGCGGTCTTTACATGTTAACATATTTTCTGGTTATTGGTCAGTGGCTGTTAGGGCATAATATAAGCATGTAAGGATGGTAATACTAGGAAAAAATAGAAGTCTGTCTAGGCTGGTATCACATCTCAGCTGGTGGTCAACAAAAGATGTCTAAGGAGAAGCATAAGCTGAGGATAAGCTTATAGTAATAAGAAGCATACAAGAAGTTGAGGCTCAGGGCACTCCTTGAGACAGAAGCTGTGTCTCTATATTTAATGCCCTTGATTAATGTTTCTTCTCTGAGTTACTCGAACCACTTCTTGAACCCATGATTTTAACTTTAACAACTTTGTGCAGTGAAGAATTTCATAGCTTGCTTACGAAGGTGTAAAGAACCATTTCTATTTGCTCATTTTGTACCTGGCATTCACTACTTCCATTTGGTGACATTAACTCTTGTACCGTAAGAAATGGTGGATAATCATTCCCTTTTTAACTTCTCTTGCTTCTCATGATTTGGTAGACATTTAGTGTATCTGTCTTTATCTGTCTTTTCCAACCTGAAGAGTCATAGTCTATATGCTTATTCTCTGTACAGAAGCACTTTCCTCACCTATGCAGCCTCTCTCTGAGTCTTTCCGGTACTGCTATATCCTTTTTGAGGTATGGGAACCAGAACTATAAGCAGTATACTATATTTAGATGCACCATGCATTTATTACAGTGGCATAAAGAAGTTTCCTGTTTCGTCCTTTCCTAATAATAATTCCTAATATTGTATTTGCTTTTTGACTGCTACTGTGCACTAAGTCAACGTTTTCAGGCAATTTTCTACCATAATCCCAAGATGATCTTCCTGCAAGGGAGCAGTCTGCTTAGAGTCCATTGTTTTATTTATAAAGTTAGGATGCTCTGTTCATCCGTTTGACTTCTCTACACGCCATTTCACCTGTCATTTTATTGTCTAATCCTTTGCTATCATAAAGACTTTCTGCAGTTTTTCAGCCATCCATTTACTACCTTGA